CTATTTGAAATACTTTGTATGTCTAGTAGAGTTTTACTAGACAAAAAATTAATAACAAAAAATTCATTTTCAAATGTAATAGACTGCTACAGTATTTAATGCTAGCCTTTTATAGTTAACGTCACCATCAACTGCATGGATTTAAAAATTCTGCATGTGTTATAATCAAAGCTGTAAAATAATTAAGAATAATCAACAGCAGAGATATCTGTGTCTAAATCTTTATTACAGTTATGAAGACCTATATAACTTCCAGTTCCTATTAACTGAAGGATTTTTATGATCCCTTGTGGAATTTTTGACTTTATAAAGCCCTAGAGTACAAATTGTGGTGTAGATTTTAAGTTCAATCATTTAAGAGTTAGTAAAAATCAGGCTTCAGAAACACATTAACAGGATAGTGCTTTTGTTCTACAAAAAAGGAACATCGGATCCAAAATGTATACGCAAAAAAAAGGACAAGCATGTCATTTATTGGTTTCAACATGCAGTTCACTTTGAAAAAGGAAGCTTGCTCTCACTGTAGAGAGACATGTCTTCAGGAATAATGTAGATGTTTCCTAGAAGTATTTACTGTTTCGTCTAGCGACACCTCTACATTAGGCTCCCACTAAAGGAAACATTTTTATACACTGTGAGGTGCTGTTTACCTTTTAAAAGTAGATTTTAAATCATTATAAACTCAGGTGTGATCTTTCAAAATGAATATACTTGTGTTCCCAAACATATAGAACTACATTACTCATTCTTCTGTATCCCACCACAAATATTTGATAAAAATCAGTGAGAACAGATCCCAGATCATTAAGGGTTTGGGAATTGCCATTTATTTTATAGTGGACTGAGCTGCAAGTAAAACTCTCGCGTCTCCATGAAACACAAGTCTGGAGCCACGGAGGGGAAGAACCCTTCAGAGCTTGCAATCAAGTGACACAGTTGGACTTTTCTCGCCTGCATTAAGTTTTCCTTTCTGTCTTTTCCCTTTCTTTCTTTAGAGCAAGTCGCTGTGGAGATACTTATTCTCTACACCACTTCCCTTTTGAAACATTAAACTGACAGTGGAACTGACTGCACAAGATTGCATTTTCTCTTCCTAAACAACTTGAATCGAAAGGTTACTTAGTGTAACAATATTTACTTGCAGAATTGTGTTGTTACCAAGGGTATAATGGATGGTGGCTATGCAGGTTTACGCAAGAATGAGTGAAGCATGAGGCATTAGCCATGTGTTTGACATGTTTCAAATTGCTATAATCCAGCATTAAACACACCCAGCAATTCATGCCATTTCTTGCAGCCATAATCTTGAATAAAGTGTGCACAACCACTTATTATATAAATTAGTATATGACTCCCTGTTATAGTCACAACAGTGCTTTTGTGTTTATTTTGCATCAAGATGTGGTCTTTTATTTGTACAAATAGCAGGATATAAAGACATAGCTCAATTAGGCCTCCTTACTTTATGATAGGGTAGTACTGAATGCTAGACTTGTTGGTTTTATTTTTCCCCCCTTCGAGTTATAGGTTCCATTGGTATAAACTGTACCATGTGAGACAGTTACTTACCAGAGCAGTAACAGAAACTAGCACATAACCCCATTCTATATTCACTGCAGTCCTTCAAAGTTTGAAACTCCACCTGGGCAATTCCAGTTAACTGCGGCATCTCAACCACCACCAGGGACCCTACTGGTCCTTATCGCTCTTTGGACCCCATTCCTCTGCTTTCAAACTCACAGCACACTCACTCTCATTTGCCTCCTTCCTCCTTCTCTACCTCCACCACTGCAGATACATGTATACATATGTGCATGTGTGTGTACACACACATGCACGTATACACAAGAAAAGGTAAGAAGGAAAATACTATTGCTTCCTTATCAACATACACTCCATTTTAGTCACGGTGCTGTAATATCAAATCTCACATTTGGATCTTAATCCTTCAATCTTACTAGATGGGAAAGAACCAGCATCTTCACACAACGAAAGCTAAATGACATGTGATGTTTTTCTTTTACTGATTTCTGTGAACATTTCTTAAAATTATTGACAGTGAGAGTAAAAGAGCTTATACTTCCAGTACTTGATCCCTTCCAGTACTTTTAATCAAATATATATTCTGAAATGTAAAGGTCTTGAATGCAATAGTTACGAAAGTTAAAATATCCCATTAAAAATAAATGTTCCTTTAAAGAATGATTTTTCAATTGTCATTATTACATAGTATTGATTATTATTATGTGATTCACACAAGAAAGGGTCAAGAATCAGGAAGACCTACACATTTTTATGTGGCAGCACACAAGTTAACCTGGAAATCTCAGCTAAATTCTGATTTGGGAAACTTGACTGTGATGTAAAAGTTATGAAAGAAACTAGCATTTAAATAATGATAACTTTTGTGCTCTGGTGGAATTAATTCATCATGGGTACCATGCACAGTGCATTTGAAATCTAGCGCTGCTTTGCTAAAAGTCTTTAATACTAAGATTGCCTAATAAATCAAAATGCCAAATATGAAGGACATAGCTGACTGTGTAAGAACAAAAATTGAACAAGCACATGAATATTTTTAATTTTGTTTAAACTGAAGATGTTTAAACTCAAGATGATTCAGGGAAGGATTCTGCTATTATCCAAGTGATGTAAGTGTATTCTAAAACGTGATATTC